ATTTCTTTATTAGTTATTCAGCAAAGAAAAGTTTAGAGACTTCTGAAAAGAATCAGTTTTTCTTAACACTTTGTGGTGTACAGAGAGCAGGTGAGGTTTTTATTTAAAAACTTGAAGTAAACTTTATCAATTAAAAAGTATTTTGGAGATAGCTTATGCTTGCTGTTGGACATTTTGTTCAGATGATAATGTAATTTGGATAAAGTAGAATTTGAATCAATCAGTGATTTTACTTTTTTTTAAAAGGCCGAATGTTTATCAAGTATTTAAAGTCAGAAGGTTCTGTGCTTTCTGTATTCATTCAAATTAATGGAAATGTCTGTATATATATCTTTGCTGTCCTTTTCACCATTCTAATTTTCCTTTAATTTTCTCCGGTATTAAGAATGTAGCAAATGTATATACTCAACCAGTCATCTGTTCATCATTTATGAGCATGTTAAGAGTATATTGTAAAAGTTCATTATTGTGTGAGGTGTTTATTTTAGAATGAATCAGTTTGTTCCAGCCATTAATGTTACTGTTGATTGATTCCCAGCCACGTATTTTATATGAAAACATTATAAAAGAATCAAGCATAACTGGTCAGCTGGACCTCCTGTATTTATAGAATTTTCTCTGTGTCTGTTGTCTGCAATCAAAATACACCAGTATGATGTGATGACCATAATTTCTGGTTCACACCATGTGTTATTTTAGCCTCGGGCACCATTACTCAGTACCTTCCAAACTAGTAGTCACAAATAAAACCCTTTTTGCTAGATGACTCATAAAACATTACCCACTGATTTTCACTGGGGGACTTCTTCTTATCCCTAAATCAGCATTATCAGAAACAAAGTCACAAAATCCAGCTGTGGTTTTTTAGGTACAGTTTGTCTCTCTACTTGAGACACTTAAACACCATTGAAAAGTGACTAAATAGGGATTTCAAAAATTCATTGCTCATCAGCAATGAGTAAATAAAAAATCCCTAATCCTGAAATGCTGATTGTCATGCTTACTGTCAGCTAATTGGAGGCATAACCAATTCTCTTTTAGAAAAAGGTCTTCATGGGAGCCTGGGTGGCTCAGTTGGTTAAGCGACTACCTTCGGCTCAGGTCATGATCCTGGAGTCCCGGGATCGAGTCCCGCATCGGGCTCCTTGCTCAGCAGGGAGTCTGCTCCTCTCTCTGACTCCCCTCTCTCGTGTTCTCTGTCTCTATCTCATTCTCTCTCTCAAATAAATAAAGTCTTTAAAAAAAAATACTTAAAAAAAAAAAAGAGGTCTTCACATTTTTTCAGTTGCCTGAGGGGGAGTAATTGCTAAATGAAGAGAACAAGACCCAGAAGAATGAAAATTATGTTTGAGAATAATTTATCAAGAATTTTAAACTTAATGCATTTATTTCAAATTATGCAAAAGCCCTTTGAGTCACCATCTCTTTGAGTTCAGATACTTCTCTTGTCTGACTCCAAATAAAGCAGTAAGAGAGAATTGTTCTTATAAAGGCCAGGAACATAGCACAGCTTCTTAAGGTTTTAGAAAGTGGAAGCTGAAAAAAAATGCAGTGGATTTATGTTTCTTATATAGAGGCAAGCCCAAAAGCAAAGTGTATAGACACATGTAGGAATTTGCCTCGGGTAATAATGTAGAGATGAGTCTGTGTAGTTACCAGAACTTCCCAGTTAACTGCAGCTTATTCCTTTAGCACATGTAAGTCAGGTATCTGAGCCAAGGCAGCCTGAGCAGGGCACAAACATATCTTATTTTCTCTTCGAGTGATGTGCTCAAAGTCAATGTCAGCTGGCTAGACATAAATATTTGGTTAAAAACCGGCCTCTTGAGTTATCCTTTGGCTCACATAAAAATGCGAACTTTTTTTTTCTCAAAATTTTTTTTTAAGATTTTATTTATTTGAAAGAGAGAGGCAGAGCATGAGTAGAGGGAGGAGGGTGAGGGAGAAGCAGATTCCCTCCCCGTCCCCCCGCTGAGCAGCGAGCCTGAAGTGAGGCGCAATCCCAGGACCCTGAAATCATGACCTGAGCCAAAGGCAGATGCTTAACCGATTGAGCCACCTAGATGCCCCTAAAAATATGAATTTAATGTTACCTTTGGTTGTTTCAATTAAGCAGAATAAATCAAGAAGGGGAAATTGAGCTATTTTGCAGATATTAATGCAGGTATAAATAATCATTAGAATGATAGATGCTAAAAATTAAAATTCACTAAGAACTTCTCTTATTCTTTATTCAACAAATTCAACATCAGTAATTTGTACAATTATTGATATAATGTGTTTCTAGCATTATTCTGGGGAAAACCAAAAGTGGGACATTTCAGTTCTGTGGGAGAGACTGGGGTATCTTTCATTCAAGGAAACATGATAAAGCCATGCACAGAGTACATGGCGACTACTGGCAAGCTCAGAGCATTTGATTTTCCCAGGAAGGATATTGCAGATCTGAATTATTACCTACTATGCTTATATAAATCAGGAAAAATTGGTGGTAGGAAGTAACATAGTATGTTCATAAATAAATAGTTTACCTTGAGACATAAATGACAGAGAATGCGTGAATTTTACCGTGTAAAAACTGTATGTGAGATTTCTTATCCTTTTCTCTTTTTCTTTGAAAGTTAGTATTTTACCTTACATGTTAATTTTGTGATTTTTTAAATGTAGAATAGTTTTAAATTTCTATTTCTTAAGTGTCCGTGATCTCCACTGTTACTTGCCAATAAGAGTGTTGCCCAGTAACTCAGCTGTTTCCCTTATTAGTGTTCTAGTTTACTCCACATGTAAGTCATAATTCCTTTCGTAGGGTTCTTCAATAAGCAGAGGAAGAGTGAAGAGTGGGAAAAATCTGTCTTTATGCATCTGTGTGCAGCTGTCACACACAGATCACATCTTGTTCCCCTCTTAAGACAAAGCAGGGTGTGGGAATTGTAAACTACTTATGGATCTCAAGATTTTAACTCACATATAAATAATTCATTTTTTTTCCCTTTCTGTAAAAAGGATAATGTGCAAATATTTCTCCCCACAAAAAAGCAAAAGAGTGTATTTCAGAGACCTTGTAGGGCACTGTCAGGGAGCCCAGATTCTCGAGGAGTGGCATTTAACCATGTGGTTGATCTAATGACTCCTTGGCAGTGTTTGGAAGATCAAAAGCCTTTCAGATACTCTCGGGGGAAGAGTTGTTGGTCCCGGGTGGCCATGCTGCCATGGAATGAGTTCTCATAGAAAGAGTTGAGGTTATTTTCCTTAGACCCAAGTAAATACAGACATAACTGCACTTAGATTAATCAGCAAAAAGCTGAGGGTATCTTTATGGTCCCCCTATTCTGGGAATTTAGATTCTTGTTGAAGCTATTATATGCAGTCTCAGAAACTTGCATTTGGCCCATGGATGGATGGATAGTCACCTTAGGAAATGCCCTCAAGTGATTTTTATATGAGGATCAGAGAAAGAATTTTACCGTAGGATGTATACATTTGGTTTCAATATTTCAGTAACAAGCCTTAATAGAGACTCTCTCCCTGTTTTTGTTTTTGTTTTAAGATTTTATTTGTTTGACAGAGATACAGCGAGAGAGGGAACACAAGCAGGGGGAGTGGGAGAGGGAGAAGCAGGCTTCCCACTGAGCAGGGAGCCATGCGGGGCTTGATCCCAGGACCCTGGGATCATGACCTGAGCCGAGGGCAGATGCCTAACGACTGAGCCACCCAGGCGTCCCTCTTTTTCTGTTTTTTATTAGAGTGAGTTGTAGAGGCTCTTTGTCACTAAAGGATAAGTACCAAATGAAGATTTCAATATTTCCATTTTTAATATCACATATGGAGACATCTTGTCATAATGGCAAGAGTCCTGACTGAGTTCAGATAATGGTTCTGCTAGGTCTAGCTTGGTGAGCTTGCTAAGCTGCTTAAGCTTGTTGAACCTGGCTTTTTCTCTGAAGAAAATAAGTGAGGATGATCCTCCCTTTCTGCAGAGTTCCTGTGAGAAAATGGGAGTAAAAATATGAAGTCCAGTCTCTGGTGTAGACTAGATGTTTAATAATTGTTGGTGTTTGCTCTCTAAATGTTTAGTTTTCTCTCTGTTAGAAGAGTTTACGCTACTTTCCAAGCACATTAAATGGTTTTATATAAGTATAATTTAACAGTTTTGAAAAATGGGGATATCTGTTCAATAAAACAATAGTAAAATATTTTGAAATAAACCCCATTCTTTATAACTAGTAAGTCCTGTAAAAACCTAGGGATGGTTGGAATCTAGAGCTCTTTTTGTGATGATTATTGCAAGCTTCCATGAAATAACTTCTGACACCGTAACATAAAACCCATACAGCTGCTCTTATAAATATGTTTATTTTTCAAAGGGCAACACATGTATTAAGTTAAGACTGGTAAGCAGAATTTAATTGGCTTTATATTATAGTTCATTAGAATGATATTTGCTATTGATGTATTATGAATTTTTATTGATTATATTCTAGTTGATGTTTAGTCATAGGAGATACTAAATTCATCTCTTGACTACATGGTTAAATAGATAATTTTTAGGTTACTATGAAGAAACTTCATTAAAAAAGTCATGAAATTTGTATGTGGCATTTCTTTGTACTACATGTTCTCTTTCTTTTATGGGCACAGAATGGTACATCTCTGTGGTTTCAGATTTCACACTCGAGGCTCATGAGTTTCAGTCTAGAGGGGCATTTATATCCTGGGCTGTACAGGAAGGCTGTCTCAGAGCCTCTCTGATAAGTAGACCATCAGATTATTTTGGCTTGTTACTGTTGGAAACCTCTATAGTCTTTGAAAAAAATAAGTTTAATAGTCTCTACACACATAGAAAATTAATGAGAAGTTATATTTAATGCAGTTTGGGAATCTCCAAGTTGTATAATCATCTAATAAGATTTGGTGTCATGGGTTATCGGGGTTATTAGCCAGGAGTACAAATCAAGTTCTTGCTGTTATGATCAAGAGTCCACCTGGACTTTGTTTTCCAGGGCCCACCAGGGGACCAGGCTGCTCTCTTTGCTGCACACGCTCGGCCCTCCCCTCAGCTCCCCCAGTATCCAGGGCTGCAGCAAGCACAGGTATCTGCATTTGCTTTGTAGATGCTGCTGGGAGTTTTACTCTTCTGTATTTGAAGTGGGAAACCAAGGAAATAGGATATCAGCTCTTTATGGGGTCTAGAACATAGTACTTCTGCTTATAGATTGTAATTGACATCTCAAAAAAAGCATTACCATTGACCAACAAGCCTTCGGATTGACTGATTTTTTAAAGAGCATAAAATATTTCAGAACGTTCTGGAGTTGAAAATATAAATAACCTCTCTACTTATAATGAGTAGATGTTGAAATGCTTCACAGTCCCAGAGTGCTTGTTGTATGTTATAATGAATAACAATGTAATTCATGATTGAATTTATCATATTAAAAGATAGGTTTGCAGGGCGCCTGGGTGGCTCAGTTGGTTAAGCGACTGCCTTCGGCTCAGGTCATGATCCTGGAGTCCCGGGATCGAGTCCCACATCGGGCTCCCTGCTCGGCGGGGAGTCTGCTTCTCCCTCTGACCCCCTTCCCCCTCATGCTTTCTGTCTCTCATTCTCTCTCTGAAATAAATAAATAAAATCTTTAAAAAAAAAAAAAGATAGGTTTGCAGAGGAATCATGGTAGAATAAGAAGGTAATTGACCTTGGAATCAGACCATGGTGCAATTCCTGGCAACTTACTAGCTGTGTAATATTGTGCAAGTTATTCCGTGTCTTGGTTTCCTTCAAAATAGAGATGAGCATGTGAGGATTTAAGACAACCTGTGGAACCAGCATAGCACCAGATTCATGGTAGCCACTCCGCAAATGATAGACTTGCCTCAATATAAGGCATCTCCTGGGCTATTTTTCCTAATAATTTTGTGGTTTTTGCATCTGTATACTTTTACTCTGTCCCCCTCACAATTAGGAGCCCGGGGATGTTGGCAAGACTGTCAGTGGGGCTAACAGTTCACACTGTGCCCACAGCTAAAAGGCGATCTGAGGTTGGTTCTCATGGGCACTGAGCCCCACAGCTGGATCCATGCATGCTGCTCGCTGGAAGTTTATTATGCGTCACTCTGTCTTCCAAGTCAGAGCCGTTAGTCTACCTTAGAGTGTGGTTCTTTGAGGACTGAAGAGCAGGCCTCTTCTATTTCAATCAGCATTCCATTCTATAACTTGCAGATAGTCACCCAGCAGAACCTCAGGTTTTTCATTTACATTAGGTGTCAAGATTTAGGGGAACAGGCACTCATATACTAATATTAAATATTCAGAGTATTGGTAGAGTGCTGGAAAGGGCTATAGTCCAACCAGGACTAGAGGATATCAAATAGTCTCCAAATACACTCGTACTATGGGGTTAAGGTATTGTTTTTTTGGTTTTTGTTTTTTGGTAACTGGTTAATTACTACAGGCAAATTCATCAGATCCAAGGTGTAGGTATAGTTATATATCAGGAAAGTGTACTCCAGCATTTTAATTTACATTGGATATAGGTAGCTTTTCTTTGTAATTTTGGAAATGACATTAATGGTGCTTGGGATCTGTTGAACATTGATGTCGTCTGTGCACTTAAGGTATGAATGCTTGCCTGATTATTTCTATACAGAAACATGTCTTTCCTTCCTCAAAATAAGCAACTGATTCTAAAACTGATCTTTTAACCAAATGAGGATTCATGTTTTGTTTTTTAAGATTTATTTATCAGAGAGAGAGAGCTTGAGTGGGAGGGGCAGAAGGAGGAGGAGAGAGAATCCCAGGCAGACTCCATGATGAGCAGGAAGCCCGACACAGGGCTCCATCTCATGACCTGAGATCATGACTTGAGCCGAAACCAAGAGTCGGACACTCAACCGACCGCGCCACCCAGGCGCCCCTCGATTTTTTTTTTTAATTGAAATTTCTGATGATTCATGATCCAACCAGTTCGTTCTGTAGCTTTCTTGCTACCCTCTTACCTCCAGAGTTGTCCTCCTCATATGTTGAGTTATAAGAACCTTTGAGAACAGTGACTTTCAGGGAACTCCTCCCAGGTTTGTTTTTGCACCATATAGCTTAGTGATAGCAAAGTTGGTGGTAAATTAAAACATTGACTTCTTGTGCCCACCTGCAGACCATGCCCCAGGGCTATACGATGTACGGAACGCAGATGCCTCTGCAGCAGACCCCACAGCAGCAGGCGGGCGGCGTGGTCCTGTCTCCCAGCTATAACTCCAGAACTTATCCGGCTGCACATTCCAGCCCAGCGCTAATGGAAAGACTCAGACAGATGCAGCAGCCGCCTAGTGGCTATGTTCAGCAGCAGGCATCACCATATCTGCAGTCCTTGACTGGCTCTCAGAGGTGATACATGTGGAAATGATGATTACAATAGTAGACACTCAAATTCCTGACTTTGTTATACATTGTCTAGGGCATGGTGCTTTATAATTGTTTTTATGAGCTTGCATATTTGCATATAATTTGCATTCTGTCATCTCATTTTTAGTAGCATCCAGATAGAGGATTATTTCATTCAAGGCCCGTGTAAACTCACATCTGCCATAGTATGGGTGTAATGTTTTAGATGATGCCAGTATGTTAGCTGCAGTGTTTTCCGCTCTTTTAAAAAGATTTTTGGCTAAAAATATCTTAAAGTGCTGATTATTGTTAGCAGTGCCTTACTAGAATATATTGGTTGGAGCCATAAAGTCTGTGATCGATTAATGCTCATTGTGCATGGTGCCCATAAGAGTTTTGTTATATTTTAGTTTCCACCTTTTCTGCTTCAGGTATGATTGGCACAGAGGATCATGAAAGATTCTCTCTCAGTTCTTGCTATAATTGAATCCCAGAGACATAGTGCATGGTGACCACCAGCCATGTGTGGCTATTTAAATTAAGACTAAAGTTAAATTAAAAGTTTAGTTTCTCAGTCACACTAGTCACATTTTAAGTGTTTGATAGCCACATGCAGCCAAGCAGAGCAAACTTTGAAGGTGTGGGACCTGTGCAGTCACACAGTGCACTGTGTTTAGAAGGATCCCATGCTTAATGTAATGGTCTACTGTCACCATCTTGAAAATCCTACTAGTTTTTGATCAAGGAGCCTTGTGTTTTTGTTTCACACTGAGACCCAGAAATTATGTCACTGGTCCTGGAGACCAGTAGCTATCTTATTGGACAGCACAACTGTAGAACATTTTAGGCTTTGTGGAAACTTCTGTTGGATAGCATTGGTCTAGAAGAATTAAGTTTCATGCAAAACTTTATATTATAGTAGGACAGTAGTTTAGCTTCCATGTGTTACAATCAGTTGCTGTATGTCAACACACAGTTGTTACAGCTTGGAAAGTTGGCACGGTTGATGGTAACATATTTGGGAAAATAAATAAGATCGGAAAAAAATGCATTGTATTTATTATTCTAATAAGTGGCAGCAAAGCATATTGCCTATGAACTTGAACTTCAGAGCTCAACAGTTGTGGGTTTCAATCCCACCTGTGCTCTTTACTGACTGAATAACTTTGGGAAGTTACTTCGCTAGCTCTCTGTTGTCTCATTCTTAAAATAGAGATAACAAAATGCAATTCAAAACCACTTGAGGTATCACTTCTCATCAGTCAGAATGGCAAGTGTCAAAAAGACAAGAAATAACAGGTGTTGGCAAGGATGTGGAGAAAAAAGGAATGCTTGTGGCCTGATGGTGGTGATGTGAATTGGTGCAGCTGCTATGGAAAACAGTATGGAGTTTCCTCAAAGAATAAAAAATAGAATTGCCATATGATCCAGTAATTCCACAGCTGGGTATTTACCCAGAGAATACAAAAACACTAATTTAAAGGGATACATGCACCCCTATGTTTATTGCAGCATTATTTACAATAGCCAAGCTATGGAGGCAGCCCAGGCGCCCATCAATAGATGAATGGATAAAGAGGATGTCATGTATATATAGAACAGACTATTACTCAGCCATAAAAAGGATAAGTTTTTGCCATTCATGACAACATAGAGCTAGAAAGTATAATGCTAGTTGAAGTAAGTCAGTCAGAGAAAGATACCATAAGATTTCACTGATATGTCCAATCTAAGAAACAAAACAGTGAATAAACAAACAAAAAATAGAAAGAGACCAGTGTACATACAGAGAATGAACTGGTGGTTTCCAGAGGGAAAAGGGCAGAGAGATGGGCAAAATAAGTGAAGGGGATTACAAGGTACAGATTTCTAGTTATATAATAAGTAAGTTAAGGGAATGAAAAGTACAGCATAGGGAATATAGTCAATACTATTGTAATAACTGTATGGTGACAAGTGATAACTACACTTATCGTGGTGAGCATTTCATAATGTTTAGAATTGTTGAATCTTAACCACTCACTGTTTAACTGAGAGCCATCCAACTTGAATGCAAAATTTCTTATATGTGTTTGAAAATAAAACAAAACCAAAATTGAGGTGTTCCTCATTTCCAAATCACTGTCCCAAATACAAGTGTCAACTATCTTTCAATTGAAAGTTTTAAATAAATAAAATGGGGATAATAAAACTGCTGACCTCAAAGGCTTGCTTTGGGAGTAATGAAATAATACATTTCAGACTCATTACCACTGTGCCTTCTCCAGAGTAAATGCTCAAATAATGTCACTTCTTATTAAAAACAATTAAAATATTTTGAAGAAGTAATTTAAACACGATTGCAATATTATCTTAAGTAGGGAGCATGCTTGTTGTCCTTTGTCCAGTGACTCCATCTCTCCGTGGAAATCTAGATTATCTTAGTCACTGGTCTCTATTGCATGTGAATTGTACAGTTGAATACTGAACACAGTCGTTTCTTTGTGAACGTACGTAATGTGCCACTGGCACTGACTGAAAATATGGCAGTTTGCCTGGGTGTGAAACCAAGTTGTATTTTTTTACCAGACTGAATCATCAGTCCCTTCAGCAGAGCCCTTTGGTAGGTGGAGGAATCGATGCGGTGCTGACTTCCACACATCCAAGCCTTCCCTCGGTACCCCTGCCTCAGGACCCGATGAGACCCAGGCAGCCACAGGTTCGACAGCAGCAGAGGCTCCTCCAGGTCCGTGGCTGGGGGTGAAGCAATGCATGAGGGGTTCTCAGCAGTCCTGATGAAATAAGAACCACTCTAAAGAGCCTTTAATTACCAAGTTCCAAGGAACCCTGTGTAGTTGAGCCTAGGAGCTCAACTGGTGTCATTTAGTTCCAACTTGGCCAGCGTCTTCCTTTCTCTGTGCTTTTGCCAGGTTATGGGCAGGAGGGTGCATTTTGCAGAATGGCCTTCTCCTTTTACAGAGGTTCAGGAGAGGGTAACTGGCTGCCTATATCTTAATAGTGTGAGTGTCAGCTCACCCACTCGCTGTTTAACTACAGGCCATGCAATTTGAATGCAAAATTTCTTCTGTGTGTTTGAAAACAAACAAAACCAAAATTGAGCTGTCCACAGCTTTCATCAGATTCCCAGAGGGGTCTGTCCGTAATCCAAAAAATTATCTCTGATGCTTCTGTTCTGATTTAAGCTCTGAAGTTGGAGTGACGTAGGTGGGATATTTCATATTGTCTCTGGTAAAATCCAGAGAGCTATCCTTCATTTATTTGATGTAAATATTTAAGTACCTTAGATAAAGCGTTCCTCCTCTTGACACATTCATGCTTCTAACTTACTCATTTAGGAAACATAAACTATTTATGTTTACCTTTCCATTTATCTTCATTCTTAACAAGTTTGTCCTTTGTTAACTAGATTGGATATTGTCTGATGAGTCTGCACAGTGGACTCTTTATCAGTAATTTACCTTGAGATGCACTGTCATTTTATGTGTTACTAAGAAAGAAATAAAACACCAACAAAAATGGGGAGTCTAGTAGAACTGGGGTAACCAAAGCTATACTCTTGGAATGAGTTCAATAAAACTGTCGTGCAGAAAGGAACAATAAAGTAACATGCATATCTCAACCTTGACCCTGGTTGGAGGGAAGAAAAAATGCCTCCCCTGAGAATTTGAACCACAACTTCCAAGAGCATTTGAGGTCTAAATTCAGTGTGATCCAAAAAATTTCTAGTTGACAGTACCCCCAGGTGATAGGCAGAAGCCAACACAAATCCTCCAGAAAAATGGGTTTTACAATTATAAAATGTCATTAGTTGTAAGATGCTATTAAGTTGCAACTCAATTTGTAGTAAGAGTTCAGTAAGAAAATATAAGTAAAGCACTCATTTGGTAATATTAAGAATAGCTGTAGGGATATTTTCATAAATAATTTTGTCTCAGGTTCTGAAGATACATGTCAGAACTTAATAGAACTGATATTTATATTTCCTTCTGTTTTAAATTTCTCATTTCCTAATCACAAAGTTACTACATCATTTACTACTTCCTGTCTTACATTGCTTTGCAAGGCTGCGAATTTTGAAAGTGTTTTTTTATTGGTTAATATGTACTTTTTTATCCCAAGTAGCCTAATATGCCCTTCTGGTAATTTTTTCATTTCTACAAATTCTCTGGAGATAAAGAAAAGGGATTTGCTTCTGCCTCAGGATTATACTTTTTTCTTGGTGACTGACTACCTCCATAAAGGAACAAATTGGTAATTATGAGGTTGGTTGGATTTTTCTTGAAAGAATTCACAGAGAGCCAAATGGAGAATTGACTTTATATTGCAGTCATTATAGTTCTGGTCCCACTTGCATTGTCTCAGTTGGGAGTGACCCTGCCCAGACCTCCTGCTAGGATTCCATATCCATGAGTGTTGGCACTTAGTGGGAAATACCACCTGGTAATAGCTATTTATTACCTTGCCCTAAAGAAGACAAATAATTTGGGGGATAGTATGCAAACCAAGTTGGAAATGCAAAGGATGAAAAGAAGTCCAGCACTGTCATCATCAAGATGAAGTGCCTGGGTAGAGGACACATTGAAGGTCACTGAGACAAACCACCTATTAATATTTTCCTCTCCTCTGTGTACCACATGGTGGATGAGTAATGTGTGTTTCTTCTGTGACTTGGAAGTGTTTTCTAAGGGCTCTTTATTTACACCAACTCAATCACTGACATAATTTGTTTTTATGCTGGTATTTTTTGCCAGAACTTCCCACATAAACATCTTCCTTTTAAAAAAATATTCTAATCTTCAAGAATTACTTCTCTTCTTTTTCCTGTTTTTTTCTTCCTTTAAGAAGTCTGCATTTTTCTTTAAAAAAAAATTAATCTTCACAAGTTCCTCCAGATGTCATAGGGACTAAAACGGTAATTACTTAGTAGTCCTTTTCCAACCCGCTGGTATAACATAGGATAAAGTATGTGCAGGAGCAGATAACATGAAAGGTGTTAACACAGTTAAGTATAAAGGATGTCCCTGGACAGCAGAGGGCAGTATAGACAGTGAACACGGCGATGACGGAAGGAAGAGCTCCTTGGGGTTGTCCCAAGAAGCCTACAAAAAGAACAGATTTAGGTCTTGTCCTTAAAAGGTGAATGTTTGTCAAGACAGTGATGCAAGAGGGAGGTGTATATCATTTTCACTGCAACAACTTAATTAGATAAAAGGTATATAGGGGGAGGAGATTGGAATATATTCCCCTCTCTAAGTGTCTAATCCTTTTTCTTTCCAGATGCAGCAACCCCCCCAGCCCCAGAGTCAGACCCTTGGTCTCCAAGCGATGCAGCCCCAACAGCCTTTGGTAAGGAACCTGGTGTTTGGAACCAAATATGTGGGGTTCTTTTTTAAAGGCAGGTTGCATTTTTTCATCCCATAAGATTATTAAGAATTAAAATAGCTTAAATGTACACTCGTAGATTTTCCCTAGAGTTTTTATCAGAGTAGTATATTTGTTTTCACAGAAAGTTATAAATAAATATTGGGGTTCAGTAAGTTATACCATTTTCCTCTTCAAATTTTTTCAGACTTTTCCATGGACTAAAAAATTTTATTGAGACACTGTTTTTTTTTTAAACAATGTTAAAATGATAATTTACCATATCTATTTGAGTTTTTACTATACTTTCAAAAGAGCATGAGTGTGCTTTCTAAAATATTATCTTTACCGATATAAAAGAAACTCTGATTTTAGCCAGTTATTTTCTGTAAGAACTTTCATATAATTCGTAATCATGTAATTAACTTCTTTAGCTTTGTAAGTCAGATTTTGAAAATGTGCATAGCATCAGTGTTTTCTGAACCGCAGTAATTTACAACATCCTTTACTTTTCCAAGTGCCATATCCCTGCTTTATTATTTACTTAAGTATTTTTCTTTAAATTGCCTCTTTTTCTATTTACTGAAGTAAGTATATTCTAAAAAGAATTTCTATTAGCTGCCATCAGTGGTCACATCACCTACATATTAGAAATATCTGTAAAAATAAATACTTACACTGAAGGTAACTGAACGACATGAGTTGTGTGAATGAATACTACCTAACATGAGCTGGCTTACTGCACTTTGGGAAACCCTGGTATAGACTATCTTCAGGACAGGAGTAGAAAGATGGATGGTTTCACAACTTTTGCAGTAAAGAAAAAACAACAGAGCCAGGGCTCTGGTATATCAGGAGAGATCAGATCAGTAGAGCTAGGTGATAAAGGACAGGTCATGCCCAGATAGACCGATAATGGAGCATCAGCAAATGAAATAGGGTATCTTGGTGCCGAGGCTTGTAAAATGCACCAAGATACCCTTTTACAAGCCTCTGCTTGTAAAATGGGTTGGTCCCCGTTATTACGGAAATTCTTCTTTATTATGAATCTAGTTTTGATAGCTCCATTTTTTTTTTTTTTGTATCTGTGACATTTATTGTAATCCATCTTAAAAATCCTTTCTCAAGTAGAGGCAGTGTATAAACGTTCACATACAGCCTACACGCTTCATCATCAGGGGTATATTAGCAGGGATTGATTGACTTACAAATGTTGTGTCAGAGATTCCTTGGGATGGGATACTGCTACTTTACCCTAGCATCTCACCCAAGAACAAGATATAACTGTTTATTTTGAAGTAATTTCAAACTAACAGAAGAATTAATAATACAATTACCATAAATCCTCTTCCCAGATTTACTAATAACATTTTGTCACATTTGCTTTATTATTCTTTCTACACACACACACATGCACACACTCTTTTCCCCCCGATCTGTAGCAGACTCATGCCTCTTATATCAGTACTATTTTAGTTGATTTATAATGTAGCATGTAAGAAGTACATAAAATACCAAATGCGTTACATTTTTTTCTTAGAGAATCGTGCTATATAAACGCAGATGGATATTGGTATCAAGTGCCCGAAATGTAGTAGTTCTTTTGAGTAGGGTAAAAAAAAAAAAAATAAACATTTGATTATATCACAGGTTAAACTTATAGGGCTGGGGTGGAAATTGTCTTTAAACTTCTTAATTATAATTCTTAATTATAAACTTCTTAATGATAATTTGAAGCAGAGGGTCAACTTTTGCAGAGTTGAGAAGAGACTCTAGCCCCAGTTCCACTAGAATGAAAGCATATCTAATATAAGGGAATTTAATATCTTTCTATTCATCTAAAAGTTTCGTGAATATTTAACATATTTATTATGTATAAAGAATATATATCAGATTTATTCATTTTTGACCTCTAAGACAGTTTTGAAGTTTTTAATGTCATCGGTTGTATTTTACTCACTAACTTAAAATACATCCTCGGGATTGAGCAGGTTAGTCAAAACATGGCCCATGATTTTTTCCTACTGTGTTCATAGTAAAGTAATTTCAGAGAAACAACTTCATTACAACAGTCTTAATGGATAATAAAATCCACAGTGGGCTTTCTCTAGCCCTTTTTTTCCCCTTTTGAGCTGAAGCCTTTTTTAAAAAGCTATTTTGGAAGCATAATTCTTATATTTAGAACACTATATTGTAATCTAGACAGCAGTTATTTTTACAAAGACAGAAATATTGTGTATGTCATAGTCTTAGGATAGGCTAGGAAATTTAAAATATCACTTGGACAGATTTCAGAATTAGAAGTTAAAGGGATCAGTGATCTTGGAGTTTTAAATTATGTAATTCTTTTTTCAGCACACTTTTATTCAGCATACTTATATATACTTTTAAGTTTATTAACATAGTCTACATGTTCGTAATTTTATATAGCTGTAAAGTCAGTCAGCTGTATTCCTCTGCTCTTACTTGCCTAACACCCCACCTACTGCTGCTGAACATTGGTATTGTTTCCAGTTTCACAAATAATACTGCTAGGGATATTTTGATATATATTCTGTTTCTCTTTTTTTTGTTTTTGTTTTTGTTTTCTTACAATAAAAGAAAATAGAAGCATAAGAATAATGTTATCTCTAAATGTATATCTTCAGAACAGTAGCAGGAAGCCTTAGCAATACTAAGAAGAAAATTGTATTTCTTATAATTTCTTAAAATGTGATATTGTTTCTTTGCTGGAAACTGAGCAGTAAGCTGGCTGTGGAGGAGAAGTCCGCTCTGAATCATTTGGAGTTCTGATTCATGCAGTCTCAGGGGAGAAGTGGTATTAGTCACACAGCCACCACCCTCCCTGTGACTTGCCCTACGGCTGTCGGGTGACATCCAGCAGTCAGTTCAGCTACTGTTTATTTGTTCTGTACAGTAGAGGCTGGCACTGGGCCAGAGGTTATGAGCACACTAATGAAGCGCCCAGCATGCTCCCTGCCCCCAGACAGCTTAGAATCCCAGGAAACCACTGAACAGCTCGGCATGTGGGAAGCAGGAGAAGAGAAGCTAGGGCTCCTGTAACACAGCATCACAAACTGGTGGGGCTTCACCAGCAGAAATATGTTATCTCACAGTTCTGGAGGCTGGGAGTCCAAGCTCAAGGAGTTGGCAGAGTTGGTTCCTTCCAGGGGCACAAGGGGAGAAATCTCCAAGCCACTCCCTGTGGCTTCTTAGGATGTCTGGTGATGTTTGCCTTTCCTTGGCTCATGGAAACAAACATGATCTGTACCTTCATTCTCTCATGATATTCTCACTGTTACGTGTGTTTGTGTCCATCTTTCCCTTCTTTATAAGGACACCCATCACACTGGATCAGGTCTGATGCTAAACTTGATCACCTCCGTAAAGACCCTCTCTCCAAATAAGGTCACATTCTGAGGTACTGGGGTTGGGATGCCAGCAAAGCTTTTCGGGACAACATAATTCAACCTGGAACAGAGGTCAGGAAGGGTATGAGAAGCTCAGGAAGCCTTGTGGGAGGAGGTTGAATGCAGCAGACCCGGAAAGACCTTGGGATTTGTTGAGTGCTCTTTGCCCCCTCCTTGACAGCAACAGCGGGTCCATGTGGCACAATGATTATTAACAGCCACATGGGCAGGTTGGTCCCTGCTGTAAAAAGTGAACCTACGATTCAAAACTAACTTAGAACAGAAATTGGTGCTTTTTCCAAAAGCATCTTCAGAAAGCAGAGCTTTTCTGTGAAAAAGGGGAAGAAAGTGTTAAAGGCCCATGCATACAAATTAAATGGGTCAGCTTAATATCAATGCCTGTGTTTTCATTTGCTTACTTGTCTTTGGTGAAAGAGCAACAGGAAAGAAAGACGAGGCATCCTTGCTGGAAAATTGTATTTGGCCTTTCTAGTTCTGACCTAAATTATACTTCTTGACTTGAAAAATACCTTTAAATAAGTTTTTGAGTTGTAACGATTAACTCTTAACTGAATATGTTAACAGGCTGTGATCTTTTCTTTAAGGCTGCTTTTAGCTTTTAAGAAAATAAAGTTTACATCAGATTGCTGTGTCATTTCTTTTTATCTTAAACTCAGGGTGTCCTAGCTGGGTGACCTGGAAAAGATGCTAACAGGAAGCTTTAAAAAGCTGGCTTTTTAAATTATTTGATCCTTGTGTTAGTATCACATTATATTGAATATAATGCCTTATAAAAATATGCATAATGGAAGCAGTAGTTACTTAAATGATTGCATTAATTTGTAGCCAAAGATCATGTGTGAAATTGCTATATAATCTTCAAAAAAATTCATACGTTCCATTCAGAGAAATTGAGAAAATTTTCCAGTGCCTCTAGAATTCAGAATTAGCCAGATAGTATTTTCCTTTTCAAATGGAAAAAATTAGTTCAGAGAAATTTACTGAGCTTTGTCACCGTCCTCTGCATGAATTTGGATTTTAATTTTTTTTTCTTTTTGAAGGGAAAGGAGAAGTAATTTATAGATGGAGAAGATAGGGAAGACATATGTGGGAGATTTCTGGTAACAGGATAGATAAATTTGATTTTTTCCTTCCCTCTAAAAAAACTATGTAGAGATTTTTAAAAAATGGCTGCATGCAAGTTACTAGTGAAACTGCAAATAAATGTGCGCCAAATCCTCTGAAATCTATTGGTGCCAGTCCTTCCTAAGTGTTCCGTCTTGCCAGCATCTAAGCATGTGTACTTCTGTCCAGCGCTCGGTGGAGGGGCCCCCGCAGTACTGCAGTCCTTGTACTGGAGCTGGTACTGATGAAAGGTTTTATTCTGACCAGCAGAGGAGCCCATAACTCTCTGCACTCTCTCAGTTGGCAGCGCAGGTTTCGAATAAATGTTGCCTTGGTGCTTTGTCCTTTGCTCACCAATACTGCAGTCACAGTTTTAGGACACAGCTGTCAGGAGGCAGGAACTGTGCTTTACTCACTTTGGTGTTCCCAGAACCCCAAAATGTGCCTGGATTTGGTTAACTGTTGTTGAATAACTTGTTTGTTGAATGTCGGAGCAACGAAGGAACAAAAGCCCCACACAGTGATCCATAAGTTAAAGGAAAAAGACAGTTCAGAAGGCAAGAGGTTGAAACCAGATTTGAGGCAGTGTGAAGGCCCACCACTAACTCTTCAGCCCTGCTCTTGCTTAGGACGGTCAGTGTCTGCTTCTGCTGCAGAGAAGGGCCTGAAGAAGCCAGCTTTTCTGAGACAGAAATGATTCAGTGGCATTTATTTAAATAGAAATGATTGGTTTAGAGATGCATTTTGCCTAAGTAATGAGTGAGCAGGAACATTAATATTCTTGACTAAGCATGTATTGTCAAAATAGGGATTTAGGGATTAGTCGAAATACATCATAATAAAATTTTAAATTATTGTTTTGAGTTCGGCAGAGAATGTGTTTAATGGAGAGTAGCTCTGCCCTGTGGGCTAGTTGGCTGTACCTGACAGACATTGTTGAGCTCTGTGCTTTGTCTCCTGGTTGCAGCAGGAGCATGGCACACAGTTCCTGTCCCCGAGAAGAGCAAAATCCAGAATACTAGGGAGAGAAGCACTTGTCACATTACACCACATTTGATAATAAAGGCATCTCCACAGGATACAGGAGCAGTGGTTTGCTCTTCACATTCCTAAGGGAGTAGGTAAGCACTTGAGCTGATCTTTGAAGAACAGGCAGATTTTTAGGAGCGTGTAGGGGTAAGATGAAGGGGGAAGGAAGGTTTTCTAGGAGGAGGGATTAACATTTGGAGAGACACAGAGGTGAGCAGAACTATGAACATCTCCTGTATGGATAGTCCAGAAAAATCTTTCCTTTTTATTTATCAGATTTAAGCAGGAAAGGTTAAACACACACAGAGTGTGGTTTTTAGATTTATTTTACTTCTGGATAGCCTCAGTTGTCCCATGTATTGACCTGTTGTGGTAAGTTAAAAGTTCCAGCTCCCAACATGGGGAAGATTCTGAAATCTAGCCAAGCATCAGGCCACTTAGGGGAACCATTTGAAAATACAGATTTCTAGCACATTTGGCCCAGAAATTTTAACTCAGGAAGTCTGGGGAAGAGCTTAAGAGGATGACTCTTTAAATTTCTCCTGATGGCTTTATGCTGCTTCAGCCAGTTTTGTGCAAGAGCTCAGTGACTTGGTTTGAAATGCTCCCCAGTGAGGGTTCTGTGGAGAGCTGGTGGCACGCTCTCTTTCTCTGGCCTCAGGTGCTCCAGGGCCCAGGAAAGCTGTAAGCTGGGTCTCTTGCTTGCTGACATTCACACACAGGTGGAAGCAAGTTAAATTTTGCATCAGAGTGGCCTTGAGAGAAACAGATGCAGGAAAAACACTACAGCTGAGGAGACTATGGACTGCAGCTGTATCCCACCACTTCCTTGGGGGGAGGGGGGGAGGGGGAGGGGGAGGTGTGCTGAACGAAACTGGTCTCAGTTTTTGGCCTTGGAACCACTTCTCATTCAAAAATTACTGTGGACCCAAAGAGCGTTTGTGTGTCTATTAATATTTATTGTATTAGAAATTAAAATAAATATTACCAGTATTTACTAATACCTTTAAAATTCTCATTAGATATTAACCAGAAATAACACTTTTATGAATAATGAATGAATATAAGAATATTTTTCAAAATAAAAAATTAGACGAATGACATTGTTTACATTTTTGAAAATTTATTGTCTGAATAAATCGAAGACTTTGTTACAATATCACATGTTATATAGCTTCTAAAAAACTGCATTGTATACTCCTGAGACAAGGAGAGCAAGAACAACCAGTGCCTTAGTATTATTATGAAAACAGTTTTGATTTTGTAGATCCCCCAAATAGTCTTGGGGTCCCCTGGAGGATATGATATCTCTGAAGGCCATCCAGCGGAGCACCCACTACCTGCCAACATGTGTGCATGCGTACTCACACACCCACATGCACACGAGCTTCCTATGAATTAGTTACTGCCAAGGCTCCTCAGGTTACTCTGATGTGATCACTACCATATTTCATTCTGTGAATTACTCTATTTGGAGCAGATTTTAAATGAACATAAAAGAAGACAGCTAAGTATCTGTTGAATGAATAAATGTTAAATATTTATGCATGTGTACCTCAGTATGTTAATAAAATGGTAAGATTAGACATCAGGCACCTCAGTGGCTCAGTCAGTTAAGCATCTGCCTTTGGCTCGGGTCATGATCTCAGGGTTCTGGGATCCAGCCCCACACTGGGCTCCCTGCTCATTGGGGAGTCTGCTTCTCCCTCTCCCTCTGCCATTCCCCCTGTTTGTGCGCGCGCGCGCTCTCTAATAAATAAAGTCTTTAATAAAAGATCAGACACTCTTGCAGCCCACCGTTTAGAATCTGTGATTATTTCCAAGTAAATTAATATTTGGAAGCTAATATTCCCAATTAAAGGTAGCACTGGATTGCGGTTAAGGCAGGAAGTTCCGAATCCAGGAATCTCTGTCTGAATCCCTGCCCCATTACTTACAGGGATCATGGGCAAGTGACTAAACACCTTGGAGTCTCAGTTCCCTCAGCTGTAAAATGAGAATAATGGTAGTAAAGGTCCACAGTCCCTTATATTCATTTCTAAAATCCAAACTGAATTTTGACATTTTATTTTGAAATGGAAATTTTATTGGTAACTCATTGAACCCCAAAGGCTGACCTGAACCCATTTGGTTGCAAAAGCTGACCTGAACAAACCCCCATCTTTCTTCATTTATTCTGCCTGATAGGACTCGTTGTATATTTTGCAGAAATTTAGTGTTTGATTATGTTGTACGGCCCTAGGCCTTGGTCTGTATATTATGGAATTGTCATAATAAATTGTATATGGATAAAGGATTGAGAATAGGTATTACCTAGTCAAGTTTAAATGGGCGAATGTATACATACAATGTCTAGAACACTGCCGAGTACATGGGAGCATATTTGGTTTTGTTAAATAGGTAGTATTTCCAGATAAACAAAGAAACCACTGAATAGAAAAGAAAGCACTTTTTATTTTACTAACATTTCCATGTGAATGAAAGGTGGAGTTTTGCTTTATTTTTCCCCTCTTGATTTGGGCACTAGGAAAATAAAAAAAAACAGGCAAGGTACTGTTTTTCTGCTTTGTATCAGAGAAAATAGTAACACTGGCTGACCTTCATCCAGCATCCCATGGGAGGGCATAGTCCCAAATGGGTCCTGGATGGAGGGCACTGCTCTGCCTCACCAGATTCTTGTCTCCATCCATACAAGGCACGGCCTGTGGTGCTTGAACAAATCCTCTGGTCAGAGAACTTTCATGCGGCCAATGAAAATGGTTTATGATAGCATGATCCTAACTAGCTAGCTGGTGAAGGATACTATAACAAGGAGATCTGACGTCCGGGGCCACCCCTGGAGTGGACTCCTTCATCACTCCTCTTCCAAGAAATGCGAAGTGACCACCTGGAGAGTGAGATTTTGAATGAATTGGACACTTCCCATATGCTCACCAGGTGTACATCAGGGTGTAGGAAAAATTAACGTACACCTAACGGGCATGGCACTTTGATCTGAAAAGGGTCGATGGTGTGTTGCAGACCGACCCTGGCAGGTAGTCTCTGTCCTTGTCTGAGCCGGGCAGCGCAGGCTGACTGCCCTCCTGTCTTCTGTCACATTTGCAGTTCCCCAGGCAAGGCTTGCAGCAGACCCAGCAGCAGCAACAGACGGCGGCCCTGGTGCGGCAGCTCCAGAAGCAGCTTTCTAGTAAGTACCCCCGCGTTACAGAACAGATGGCTACCAGGAGATTCAAGACAAGCAAGCAGAACACACATGCTGGCTCCTCAGACAGTGCCCTGTCTTCCTTCCGTACCATTTACATCCTCATTTGAGTCCAGGCTGGTTTGGTTTGGGTTTGGGTTTGGGTTTAGGTTTGGTTTAAATGCTCCCTCCCCTCTCCCCTCGCTGCTGGAAAGTCCCAGGGTTTTTTTGTTTTTTGGTTCTGGGTTTTTTGTTTTTTTGTTTTGTTTTTTTGAGTTCAGTGAAGATGTTTTCCTCTTGCTTCCATCTGAACCTGGAAATGTTTCTTTTCATTTGGGAGACCCACGTGGAAGTGCAGGTACCCTTTTTATGCAAGCAGGAAGGTTCAGAGACCAACTCGGCCGATGCCCTCAGGTGTGCTGATGAAGGAGCTGGCTTCCCAAAGCCACCTGTAGAGGAAGGCCAGCCCTAGACCTGTCTCCTGGTCACTGGGGCGGTGACCGTCCTTGCCACTGCGCCATCCTGTCCTTCTGATAACAGTGCAGAGAACTCGCAGCCTGCTAACGCCGCAAGCAGCAGAGCAGGGCAGTTTGTCCCCAATAATTGGGCCTACTATGCTGGTGTGAATTTTTTTTTTTTTTTTTTGTGCTCTCTCTCTAAAGCGATGCCAACAGCCCATCTCACCACACCTCTTCTAGATGCCGGCAGTGTGCTCTCATGAAACGAATCCCCCCTGTGCTGCTTGACGTCACAGGAGATATTTTTAGAAATGCGAACTAGCCCCCTGTGATGCAAAGAATATTGGCCTGGGAGTTAGGAAGTCTGAATCCCGGTGCCAGTCCTACTATCATTTTCTGGACCATGTACTTTTTCGTCCATGCAGCAAGGAGACTAGTGGGACCGGCAGTGTCTCCTGGGTCTCTGGTTGTGTGCTTTGGAGGTATGGAGTGAAGGCCACCTAGTCCTAAAGTCAGCTGTGCAACTCTGGTAGGATACTGTCAGGAGGAGGGTCAGTTAGGACCGAGGGGCAACTTGGGTTTGGTCTTAATTTTCCACCTGGCGGCTGTGCCTGTTGATTTCCTCGCAGAGGAAATGCCCCTCATGTACCTTGCGTCTCTACTAGGGCATAACCAAGATCTTTTTTTTTTTTTTTAATATTTCCCTCTTTTAGCCTCATTTAATTTGTTAAATCATTTAAATTGGTCTTGTTTTCTAACTACTGCTTAACAGGGGTGGTCTATTATATGTGTGGTTAATATTTCATTGCTTTATTTGAGAGTTCATACTTTCACATGGTTAAAGAGAATATAATTTTAAGGCAGAGACAACATGCTTATATTTTAGATTTTTTTCTAGTGTTTAGAAATAAGTACCTATGATTTTATGTAGTGGCACTTTTTGGGAGTGTACCTACTCTCTTTCCTGTTTCCCAGAGCTCATGATATGCAGTTTTTTTAATCTGTCATTTATGGAGCACTTTCTTGGACCCAGGCACTGTGACTCTACATAGATTAATGCACTTAATTCCTAAACTGCCCCATGAGTGAAGGTATTACTATTCCCATACTATAGATGAGGAAATAGCTAAAGAAAAGGGAGATTGATTGACTCATTTGTCCAAGGTTATTCAGCTAAAAGTAAGGGGCAGAGCTGGGACTCTTGAATTCAGATGGTCCCCTTCCAGAAACTACCTCTTAACCACAATATACTCTGCTCCCTGATATTAGCAGTTATGCCAGCCTCCTTTGTTGAGTGATGGCCAAGTTGAGCTGTCTCACTGTACAACTCCAGAGGGCTCCTTCTGTATCATAACCCATGTGGATGGAGCCTCTGGATTTGAATAGTCCCACCAGAGTTGGGGAAGCAGTAGTTATTTCTAAGTCCCAGTCATTTTTTTTGTGCCTACTATTCTTTAGGTGTGTGTGTGTGTGTGTGTGTGTGTGTGTGTGTGTGTGTGTGTGTGCTTGCACACATGTACATATATGTATAGGCAGACACCTGAGTCAGCACACATAGCCACCGTCGCACGTGTAGACACCGTTACACACTTCTCTCTTACATATCTTATATGGCCATTTGTAGAAAATTACCCTGTTTCATGCCACTTCTCTCACCTTACTATAATGTCCGTGTTAAAATAAAATCTCTGATCTGTTCTTATAAAAGTTTGAGGAACTTTCAATATTTTACAATACTTAGAGTCCTTTTGTATGTTAGTATTGAGTTGTTTCTTAGTTTAGACGCAGAGACTTCAGAGGGGCTGGTTACTGTCCGAAGGCTGTGCTGGCCGGTGTAGGACTCTGCTGTAGAGCCAGTGCCCCTGTGGAATGCATGCAGTTAGGGTATTCAGACCTTACTGCTCAGGTCCCTGGGCTAGCATGCACTCCTTGGCCGGTTTGTCTGTCCTCCTGTTCTCGAGGCTGGTACGGAGAACCGTGGCAAGAGGGTAGCATCTATCTGTGGCATAATTTTGCATCTGCGATTTTATTTGAATTTATTTTTCCCATTAGGTAACCAGCCACAGCAAGGAGTGACTCCCTATGGGCATCCATCACACTTCTGAATCTGGAAGAGGACAAGACATAAAGTTTTGTGTTTGCACTGAAAAATAGAAAATCAAATTTAATGCATCAGTCTTTAGAAATGTCCCTTTGTTCTTTCCTTTCTTTGAAGTTTTCTTATTTTGTGCTACATTTCATATAGAGGTATTTAAAACAAAAAGAAAAGGAGGAAGTGTGGTTTGGGTTTTTTGGTTAAATTCAACTTTAAAGTAGGTATAAAAATGTGGATCATGTGGGTCTACTCCAGGAAGAGCGTGGTAGCAGATCTTTTGAAATTGGTGCTTTTTTTTTTGGATCTCATAGAAAGAATGAATTATGGTGGATTTAAAATATTTATGTGTTCATTAATGATGAAGTTTGTTGTTTTCTTCTCCCCGCCGCCCCCCAAACTGTGCTGGACCAAACTACTGATTTGAAAGGCATGTCAGGTCTTGACAGGAGAGTAATCCATTTATTCTTCTTTCACCTTTGATGGTGAAATGGACATCTATTTGCATTGCTCTGATTTGAAATGTTTGTAATTTCATAAGCACTTTATAAACTTTATTCTTATTTATGTAGGATTTTTCTTTGCTTTTGTTGTGGTCAAAAGGTGCTGAAACAGATTGTTGCTTAGTACTTAAACTTCTTAGACCAAGAACTTCAACCCAGGCTTCTGAGAGAGCCGCCCTCAGATACACGGAAGCCTCGTAGAAGTGGTTGTACTCGAATTTGTTTTCAGTGGCAAGAGCATTGACCAGAGTCTTTGTGAAGGTACAACATGTTAATTCTAAAGGCCCGAACAAACCACAGTGGAATTGTTCCAATTATTTATTGCCAGATTTGGCAAAAATGACTCTTGGTTCTCCTGAACCTTATGCCAACTTGAGAAAAAACAATCTTGCAGCTGGCCTGAGATTCCACAGTGCTCAAACTTGACGTGGTTTCCAGAGAATCTGGCCCCCGAGTCCAGAAGGCTCTGGTTTTCATAAAGATGTATTTGCTGTTTATTTTGTATGGTAAGTATTTGCTATTTTGAATTTAATTATTAATGTTGGTGTCAGTCTTGGTTGTGTATTGCATATACTGTATTTATAAATTGGTGCAAAAAGCACAAGTAAATTATACATCAAATTTATTATAAAGAAATAGTAACTATTTTAACTTTGTTCAAGTATGTGGTAATTTGCTCCTATTAGAGTAAAAAATACAGTAAATTATCAGTTTGTGTAACTTAAGAGTATTCCATATAATATTTTTTTAGATTTAGATGCATAAAATTTTGAATGTGAAAATTGCAGGGCATTTTAAAACACGTGGGGGATATTTTCCCATGTTTTGTGTTAATTCATTTTCTTTTGCCATATGATTTTACATGTAATGTAGTTGAGCATACTGTGAATAGATTTGTCTATAATGAGCAAACCATGTAGAACTACTTTTTTAAAATGTAGCTAGTACGACTTTAGATCATTTCTTTTGCAAATCATTATATAAATAATTTATATCTTCCTAGGTGAGTTACTCATTGCAAAGTTTGACTCATGCAAACGACCTCAAATACATGTCCGCTTACTTTTGCTGTGGCAGCATCCATGTGAACTGCTTTGTACACTGTGAAATAGTTCACTCCAGCCTGCTCATTTCATGTTTACTCTGGGCTGGAAAAGACTTTGCCAAAACATTCAAGACCATTCTTTTCATGAAATTATAACATACTCTATCTGCTTTCAGAAGACAGATCTTTACATTTCAGCTGGTTTTGTATATCAGGTTTCGGGTTTTTTTCCTTCTTGAGAATCCTACGTAGAATCCATGAAGTTATTTTTCTTCCAAGTAATCTATCCATATGATGATTGCCTTGGCAAAACCGAAATGTGAATGTTGTGCCTAGTGAGTGAGTCCTGTTCTGTCCTGATTTCCTTTGGAAGAATTATTGGGATCTAAAATGCCAGTTTTTAGTTTGAACCATATATTTTTATAGCTCAGTATTGCAAACAGCAGTCATATTGTTTCAAGAACAAGTGTGATAATTGCATAGCATTCATATGCACTTTATATTTTGCATAAGGTAGTGAAATTAATTTATTAATCATTTTGCACATGAAAGCTGTGGGGTATACTTTTTTCTTGTTGTGTCCTTTTCTTTTCCGGTGACAAAGCCAAGTCATGGTAAGGCCCTATAGTTCAGATTCTGTGGAAAGTTGAGGAAGAACCTAGGACTGGCTTACCCCTGTGCATTATAAAGAGAACGACTGGAATTTTTATAATCTAGGCTTAGCATATTTCCTTCCACTTAATCCCACATCCTAAGAGGTTTCTTTCTTAGCAAATTCATTAATTTGCATTAAAATGATCATGAGCGAAAACCTGTCCTTTGACAGAACCTGGTAATTTGCTTTGTAAGACAGGAAATTATCCTAGGAGAAGATGGAGACCTCCCTTTCCCTTAAAAATAAGACTTTAAAAATTGAATGTAATTGGGCATCAGAATCCCTTAGACAAACCTGTTTACACTCTAGTCTCATTCCTGATAGCTTCCATTTGTAGTTCTTATTTACTCCTTTTCGCCCGGCAGTGGAAGGAGATCACAGTGAGAATTAGTATCCTTTGACCTCTTGTGGCCACAGGGTACCAGCATCTGAGATAGCAGCAGTCAGGTCACCTCTTAGGTGGAGCCAGCTGAAAGTTGGTGTGATGAAAACACAATGAAGTAAGCTCCCCTGTGTCTCAAACCATCAGCAGGGGCTAACATAGTTGTTTTGTGTGCTGAGATATCCGGGCGAGACCTATGGCATTTTTTTTCCCCACTTTAAATAACTGGCAAATATTTGAATGAATTCTGGATAAATTACACTGGAACATCCCAGCCTCTAAAATTAGAAAAGATGACTCATAATGTCCCCCAAATCAATTCACGTTGAATTACAAAAAGCAACATTTTGTGTAGGTTTGAACAAATTTTAAGTACAATGAAACTTCATTATATGTATTTATGTATTAGATCTAGATTTTCCTATTTTCCTCTTCCATAAAGGATTATCCCTTAATGAAATAAGTTCATAAAGCAATGGTTCCTTCTCAGATATTTTCCTTATAAAGAGTTCCAAACCAAGGATGCCTGTGTTAGATTTTGAAGTGATGAAGTTTCATTGTATTTTTAATGAAGCCTTTTTAATGAGTTTATTTCAGTAACGAAGTAATCAACCCCCTTTTCACTTTTTATGATATGTAGGTGTTAAGTTGCTTTTTACATGTATTTTAAATGCAGTTATTAAAAAACATTTTTGTATTCCCCATCAATGAAAATTTTCAGTGTACACAAAACATAATCCTAGTCAAAACCGTTCAGAGCTTATTTTCTCTAGGTTTTACTAAAATATTTCTAAGCCAGCCACAAAATATCTGTACATCAAAATTGTAAATTTACAATCAAGACTACAAATTTAATCTTTCCCATTGTCTCTCTTCTCAGTGCCATGCTTGTAACATTGCTAGAAGGTGGACACTAGGCAACTGGTAGTGAAAGAACGAAGTCTATTCTTTAATGAAGAATTCAGATACATTAGCCATTTGTTCTTTTATGGTGGACAGTTTTACCTTAATGTTCATTGTTATTTGTTGGCAAAATAAAAGTGCCTTAAGTTAAAAGTTCGTTTGGAGATCAATTAACGAAATCACTATCAGTCATATTGCATTTATTTACAAGTCTTTTTCTTTTTTTATTTTGCATGTCCATTATAAATTTAATATTGTAAATGTACTCAAATTCATTTACATGCCTATGGCTGCCTTTGATTAAACTTCTTCCAAAAAATAAACTGTCCAGATGTTGACTTTGTTCAATTTTTATTTCATGTCAGATGACCTGAACATACGTTGTTGCATAATCACTACCAAGTGGATTCCTCGCTGTGCATTTGTAGATCCCAGAATCTGAGGTTTGGGGATTCTGAATGATGAGGGTACCTTGGGGGTGAAAAGGCTCAAGTCCATGAGTCCCCCCTTTATTTGCCATTGAGAGCAAGGAGTGGTCTGGCCGCTCCCATGTGATTTCTGGCTTGGGGACTCCCAGGGCCACACATCGGAGCTGAACGGGCGCTCCAATCCTTGTGAGAATGCTCCTGGGTAGGCGATTTGTAATTCGGGGTGGGTAGGCTACAACCATTACTGGAACGGTAATCAGTGTGTGGCCAACGTTATTTTGAGCCATACAAATGTAGTTTCCTCTGTCATAAGCTGTTGCTTCTTTAATGACTAAGGTGCCATTTTCATGCAATATGTATTTTCCACTACTTTGAGGTCTATCTATTATAGAACCACTTGGTGTAGTCCATTTGATATTTGGCTTAGGGCTTCCATCAGACACACAGTGCAGTGATAGAGATTCTCCACTGATACAGTAAACTGTTCCTAGTGCATAAGAAAGAATCACTGGCTTCTGGCCAATTTCTAACACAATTAATTTTTCAATGTAGCCGACTTTATTTCTTGCTGCACACCGGTATTTTCCTGCATCATCCCGAGTTGTTTTAGAAATGATGAAAGAACCATTGCCTGCTATCAGATACTGAGAAATTTGCGGCTCATTGGGAAATCTTGTGCCATTTGGTAAAATCCAGATTATTTCAGGTGGTGGGTTTCCATCCACAGAACAATTCAGTGCTGTGGACTTTCCAAGCTGGGCAACTATTTTTTCATTAAATGGATTTCTGAATGTTGGTCGTCTTAGCATTTCCAGTACTTCTAACTGTACCACCAGCACGCTCTCTCCTCCTTCATTCCGAGCCACACAGATAAAATCTGCCGAGTCTGAAAACCTCACATTCCTAATTTCCAAGGTTCCATTTTTATGGACTGTGATTCTGCTTCCATAGTATGGGGCCGTGAGGAAAATATTATCTGGCATGATCCACATGACTTGAGGAGATGGTGTTCCTTCAGCTCTGCAGTCAAAGTGTTTTTTGGAATGCCTCACGGCTGTGGCTTTAATGACCGTTCTGTTTGTATACAGACCGTTGATTAATGGAGGTTTGGAGACAACATCCAGTTTGTACATTTTTGTGTCATCCCCACTGGGATTTCGGGCCACACACACATACTCTCCGGAATCGAGCAGTTTCACTTTGTTGATGGACAAAGACCCGTTCGCATGAAATGTGTACCTGTCCTTAGAGAATGAAATCACGTCATGGGAAGGCAGCAACCAAAATATTTTTGGTTTGGGTTCACCGATGACCTCACAGTCAAGGACCACTGTGTCTCCAGCCTTGATTCTCCTGTGGGTCTTGTAACCCTGCCTGATCCGTGGGGCAGCTGTTATTACTGTTAGGTGCACCTTCATTTCATCCTTCCCCAGAGTGTTCTGGGCATAGCAAGTATAATCTCCTTCCTCTGCTATCCCAACTTTGTTGAAGTATAGGGTTCCATTGTCAAAAAGGGTATACCTCCTGGTCCTGCGGCCACTGTCATCGGCTTGCATTGCATTGTTTATCATCGTTCCATCAGGCAAACTCCAAGATATCTCAGGCAGTGGGGAGCCAGAAGCCTCGCAATCAACTTGGAAATCTTTCCCATGGAATACTTGCTTTTTAAAATGGTGCTTGTGATAAATTTTGGCCGGTTTCAGTCGGAGGCTCACATGCATTAGTATCAGATCATCCCCCATTTTGTTTCTGGCCACACACAAGTAGTCACCGCCATCTTTTTCTGTTATTGATCCAATAAACAAGGATCCATTTGGGTAGACATGGATACGGCTGCCCATTCTAAGGAGAGAAGAGATGGATTTGAGTGTGCAGCTATTAGCAAGGGGTGAGGGGAGTTGTCTTTATTTACATAGGATTAGCTTTATGGACATTTTCTTAAACTGTTGGAATAAAATTAAAATCAGTACTAGCTTACTGTCTCCTAAACCATTTCCTGAGAGAAAATTATCTAACTGAACAGTTAAAATTTAGTGAAATGAAACTCCTTTACAGTGGTGATTTGAAAGAAACAATGCTGAGAATGCTAGAAACATTGGATACCTTAGGACTTTCTTGACCATTTTAGATATCAAATGATTGTTTTGTGATATGTCAGTAAAGAACTTCCATGTATACTTGGCTCGGAAAAGATGCCAGGTTATTTTTTTTTTAAAGGTAACAAAATATAATTATTTGGTTACAAAATAAGTTATACTTTGCCATGAAAAGAGGAAGTGCCAATGGTAAGACTCATTAGAAGCCTGCTGTTGCATCTGTCCTTTGCAGGCAGCTGTAAAGTGACTGGTCTCTGCATTTTGTCAAACTGTGCACTATCGTTTTTCTCCCTGAAGTTATTATGCAGCATGTCATTACCACCGTGAGCCACCAGATGGCACATCTTTCCTGCTAAAACCAGATTTAGCTTTTCAGAAAGACCAGTGGAAAATGAATTGCTGCTAAAACCGGGATCAAGAACACCCATAAGGGAACATCTATATATATTTTTCTTATTTTTTGCCAAGGTGATAAGCAGGTAAGTGAAACCAGAGAGGAAAAGGTGGATAGGGTAGCAGCGAATCAAGTCAAACAGCTCAAGTCACTTTTCATTCTCAGCAAACAAGTATGGAGAGTATTGTGTGGTACATTACAAAAGGTACTGTTATTTTTAAATCTTCAAGTAGTTCCTCACTATACATCTGGAAATACTTTACTTAGAGAGCCTTAGTAACTTGCCTCAGCTCTCAGGGCTGGTTCTCAAATGCTTTATAAAAGCACTGATTCCCAAACTTGGATGTGTATGAAAATCATTTATGGAGTATAAAACGAGTCCCACTTCCAGAATTTGACTTAATTGGTGTGGAGTGTGGCCTAGGCATTAGGACTCAGAGTTTTCCAGTGATCCTCATGTGCAGCCAAGTCTGAGAACCACTGCTCCCAGCCTTGGCTCTCACAAACAGTTCTCTCATCCCATGCATCAGAATCACATGGTGCCTGCCTCATGTAAGATGCAGGTTTCCTGGCTTTGCTTTTCAGAGATTCTGATTCACGAGATCTGGCCAGGGATCTGGGAACCCACTGAGTAACAAACGTCCCAGGTGACCGTGACTCTTATGAACAATAAAATTTGAGAACCAGTCTCCTATTTTAGTGGCACTAAAATCACCTGGAAGCTTTTAAGAACACAGATTGCCTGTTAAAAGAGAATCGGTTTCTGATTCACTGAGTTCTCAGGCAACGCTAATGCTACTGGCAGGGGGACTGCATTCTTTGAAAACCATTGATTTAGAGTGACCTTGTCCCGCCCCCAAATCTGATGCATCTGGAGGTGGTAATATATAAGAAGAGACTATAGCTGTTTCTTTTTATAAAGTGATGTTTTTAAGAGAAAATTTACTTTTCCAAAGTAGAGTGTTCCCCAAGTAAAAGAAAGCATCTGTAGTCCTTCTAAAGCAATGCTTCTCAGACTTTATTGAGCATGTGATTCATCCGGGTATCTTTTTAAAGCACAAATTCTGACTCAGCAAGTCTGGGTTGGGACCTGAGGTTCTGCTCTTGTGACAAGCTCTTAGGTTCTGAAGAAGAGGAAACCATTCTGTGCTGAAACAGGTCACATATGTCAAATGTACTGGAGATAGACTGGTGGTGTTCTGAGTCTGAGGCCATTTAAAAACCCAGAAAAAGCTTTTTGGTTCAGGTGACAAGTAGGCTTTAAGAAAGGGACAGGGTTTTGCTTATTCTGGTCATGGTGGTGTACGCAGAAACGCATAGCTATGATGCACGTTTTTGCATTTTTAGAATCTAAAATTCAAATGTTAGAAGCTTCGAAATGGAAACAGCAAGGACTTTCTTTTTCTTGCAGTAAATGGCCCCTTTTATTTCAGTTGATATATCTAAAGCTTCTAAGTAAAGAATATCCTTGCCTTTTTGAGGCTAGTGGCAAAATAATAATTGAGGTGTTCAGTTAGCAAACAAGTTGAATTATAAAAGAAAAAAATGCAGTACCTCTGGTGGGCCCATGGTAGCATCTGTGATCTCTATTTTTTAAGATTTATTTATTTGAGAGAGAGAACCTCCAGCAGACTTCCCGCTGAGCACAGAACCTGATGTGGGGCTCGATCCCACGACCCCAAGAGCATGACCCAAGTAGAAATCAAGAGTCAGCCGCTCAACCAACCAAGCCACCCAGGTGCCCCATCTGTGATCTTTATACACTCTGTTGCCTCTTCCACAATTTTTACAATCTGTGTCCCATAAATACTTCCCCAAACAAAATATAAACAACCTACTTAATTTCTTTGCTGTTTACCTCTGAAGGATCTGTTGGAATACCTGGTTAAGATTTATTCTGAGATATTAATAATGTGTTTTGGAACACTCTCCAGACTTCCTTTGGGTTAACTTCTTAAAACATTCCTTAAATTTTTTCATGCCTCTTGATAAAAGATTTCCATTTTCCAAAACTGACTTAACATCCAGTAAGTGTTTTAGTGTTTTAGACCTTTTCCTTAACAACCTAAATTTTGAACTTTATCCGTTATTCACATCACAAGTGTAATGCTTTCTATACTTACTGCATTGTGGTTTTTGCATGGGTAGTGGAAATTGTTTTCAAAATTACACAGAACCTTGGTTGCATTACAAAATTCCCTCCTCTTTTTGGATAGAGAAATTATAAATACCTTTCCGCAGTTACCATTTTAAAGCTGTCACAAGTATGACAGCAAATGAGATTGTTAGTCTGCTTTTAACTATGTAAATTCAGTAAGAATTGAACAGCTGGCCTGTAGAGTTAAGCATGTAAGAAGCTTCATTTTTATATGTAACGTTACCTCAAAAGGATTAGGTCTCTTTAGAAAGAGTTACTTTTATGTACAGAGTCTATGAGCTCTCTAAATCTGCTGCTGATCTCACTGTATCACTTTTTCCATTTCAGAAATTGTACATCTAAATAGATAAAGAAGACAATCTCAACACAAAGGTATGGTTTACCTGTGCCACTGGTCGACAATAGCCCTGGATGGTAGCCTCCAGATTATTTTGGGTTTGGGTTCCCCAATGGCTGAGCAGTTCAGTAGTAATTTGTCCCCAAAATTCACCTCAGTCCGCTTCTGGGATGCAAATTCTATCCTGGGGATGGTTTCTCGCTCTTCCACTGTAAGAATTACCACTCTTCTTTCTGAGCCAGTGGAGCTGGTAGCAATGCATTCATAAGTGCCCCTGTCTGAAGAGTCTACATTTCTTATATACAGAGTCCCATTTGAAAATAACAACAACTTAGAATTTATAAACTGCAGTGGTTTCACTTCAGTGCCATCAGAGAGGACCCAGTGAACACTGGGCTGAGGAGTTCCTTTGGCAGTACAGGGCAATTTCAAACTTTCACCCCAAGTCCCTACAATGACTTGCCTCTTTTGCTCTAGAATAACAGGTGGGGCTGCAATGACTTGTATTTTGACCAACAGTGAATCCTGGCCAGCTGAGTTGCTGGCCATGCATTTGTAAAAACCCCGGTCATAAATGCTGAGACTGTGGATGACCAGTGTTCCATTAGATGTCACCAGGGCCTGCCTATTCCCCTCAGATGATTCTGAAACCACCGTTTGGTTTGCAAGAACCCAGGAAATTGTAGGACTTGGTCTACCTTCAGCTCTGCACTTCAATTCCACAGTGCTTCCAGAGTGGACTGTGATCTCTTTGGTACGCCTATCCAGAATCCTGGGGGGATAGGAAACCACGGACAACATGACATGAAGGCGGTCAGTGCCAAGTGGATTGGATGCTGAGCACAGGTACTGTCCGCGGTCCTGAATGTCCACCCTCTGTATGGACAGGGTGCCATTGGGCAGCACCTGGAATCTGCTATTCTGTTTCCTTTTAGATATATCAAATCCTGATAAGAAGAAAGAAATTTGTAGTCATAGGTCATCAAAGTTTAAATAGAAAACAAATTGTGCAAGGGAAAGTCTCAAGAGGAAAGCTTTGGGGGGTGCTGTTAGGCTACTGAGAGCAAATATATTTAAAATTAAAATTAGGACACTTAGTGTTAAGAGTGTAAAAATTATTCACGGAAGATTTTTATATCCATATGATTCAACACAATGACCCTTTTCTTTTTCAAATCATATTTCCCTGTATCTGCTTTCAAAGCATTACAAAAAAATGTTCTTAACATGTTTTAAAACCTTCCAATGAGCAGAAAAAGTTATGCAGCAAATGTCAAATGAGAATATCAATAGTTTCTGTGTCTTGGAGAGATTTGAAACTGGTGTTGATTCTTTGGATGTACAACCCTGAAACATAACACAATCTTTTCCTTGTTTTATGACTCAACAAAACTAAGTGTAAAAAGAAAAAATTAAAAAAAAAAAACAGTTTCAGATACCTGATGAGACTCTGGTCCAGTGGATGGTGGGCAGGGGATTTCCAACAGCCTCACAAGGAAGAAAGGCATCTGAGTTAGCGGGAACAGTAAAACTTGCTGCTTTTCCTCCAACTATTCTGGGCCTTTCAAATATATTCCTAGACAAAGAATCAAAGGGAAGGAGTTCAGAAGTTGTTATTTTTTGAACTGGTGTCTCATCAAAGCCATTTTTCTTTGCAGTCTTCTGAATATCCCAATTTGAAGCATGAGTGGTGTCCTCTGGCAAGCCTGGAGTGGGCAATATGCTCACTACTGGCATTTTGCCTTTTTCAGCAATTTCTGGGTATGACTTGTGCCAGAAGTGGTTTTCTGACCAGGGAGAGGAAGTCAGTTTAGAATTCTGTGGTTTAACTGTCATTAGTGCTGGTGTAGAAGCAGAATGAAACAGATTGGAGTAGATAAAGTGGGTGGTTCCAATTGTGACCTTGATATTTGGGCGAACTCTGGGCGATGTTGCAACCTCTGCTGCTAATTGCTGTGGATTAGCATTGTGCCTAGAGTATTCACGTGGCTTGATCACTGTATTTGTCATCATCCTAAAAACTGGAGTTGCCATGTTGTCTGTGACTGCACTTTGATTACTCAAGGAATGGGAGGTGGGAATTGGCATTGGAGCAGCACTGACACTCCGGAATGGTGGCATGGTTGAGTGTCTAATGATTGTGTTCCTAGTTGTGGTGCTCTGGTGTAGTTTGCTGGACAAAGTGATTTCAGAAACAATTCTGCTCTTCAAAGTCTGAGTATTCTCTTGGGGTAGTTCTTCAATTACATCTGTCAGAGTAAGTGTTCTTGGATAAAGACCCATTGTGCTTGAAATTCCTTTTATGTTTTCTAAGGGAGAATGAGTGAAAGCAAAGATACTGGGCTTGGTTGAAGTTTCAGTTGCAGTTAGATCAGGAGGTATCATAGTAGTGGAAGTAGTGAAGCCAGAACTCTGACTAGGAGAGGAGTATGAGTCATTCCTGTTCCTCTGAGGCTCCTTTTTTCTTTGTATGTTTCGTGTCCTGGGTCTGGCTATTTGGGTTTTACTGATAATGACTGATGCAGGGGCAGTAGGAGGAACTGTCAGCCTGGCTGTCTGCATTGATATGAAATTGTTGGTACTTGATTCTTTGCTTAAGATATTAAGAGGTGTAGGGTAAACTGGTGGAAAGGGCAGCTTTTTCATTGTTGGGAGACTTATAGGACTGTGTGTTTCAGTGATATTTTGGTGAGTTGTAGCTGATGTTATAGATGGAATTTGCATCACACTTGTTGAGAGTGTTGTGAAATGGAAAGGGAAAACTTTATCTGTGGGTAAAGCAGGAGATATTTTAGTAAGTACTGTGGCTGTGCTTTTTGGTGAGCTAAATTGATGCTGATTCTTTAACCTCTCTTTTTGGACATGGTTATTTACAAAGATCTGATGCCAGGGAATTTTCCTTCTTAAAAATCTTGTAATGGCTGTAGTAGTAGACATAGATGGCTTGGTGGTGGGATCTGGAAGTGGTGATATAAACATTGAATCTCTTTTAACTTCATTGGTATTAGACCCACTTGGGTAGCCATTATTTGTTACAGTTTTTTCCACAGGTAAGGATTTGGGGGCATGAGTCATAACTGCATCAGTTGGAGTCATTTGGGTACTTTCAGCACTGAAATATTTTATTGTGGGTATTGTTTTCTCAATATTTACATTTGGTTTGTTCTCAAATGGTAATGATGGATTGTGGACTAGAGTTGTAGACTCTTCTGTGACTTTGGAAGTTTCAGCTTTGGTGAGCATGATAGGGGAAGAACTTGGAAAAGACAATGCTGCTGCAGCAGTGGTGAGCCTCTCCTCGGGAGAACAGGATGGGCACACCACATTGACCTCTGTGGCTGAAAATGTAGTGCTTTCTTCAGAAGAAACTCTGAATGTTGGTCTCACAAAGCCATATCTATGTTGTCGAAGAATTGGAGTTCTATATGGGCTGATAACGCGACCCCTACCCCAAATTTTCCTCCGTCTTCCAAAGCGCCTAGATGTTAGTGGGATGTTAGTTGTACTATTTCTAGGAATCTGTGACTGAGAATGAGCAGCAGTGTATGGGCCTGAAGGTATCTCAGAGGTGCTAAGCTTTTGAGTAATGTATGGATAGAGGTGATTGCTCCTGGGGTCACTGACTCCTGTTACAGTTGTCTGATGACTATTTGTGGCATTTACTGACCCTAAGAATATATCAGCTTTGCTGTTAGCACTACTGAGCATTTTGATATTGGCATCTTTGCTCATAGTCCCCACTGCTATTGGGACTGTACTTTGTAAATGCTCTTTTTTCCTCCTAGTGTTGTCAGCTTCCTGAAATTGCATTGCTTCAGGTAAGAAAGGAGAGATAGTGGAGAAATTTTCAGTGGTTGTGCCTTGCATTTTGCTTGATAAGGTTGGGTTGATATTCTCTGACATGGCTGTAGTTTTAATAGGAGATGGCTTGAAATCTATTGGTTTTTCAGGTGGTAGGATTTGTGGACCCGCAACTGGAGAGACTTCAGTAACAGTTACATTTGTCACAGGGCTATCAGGTATTTTTCTGGAATTGGCAATCAGTGTCCTTGCCAGAACACTAGGAGCCTTAGTTGCCAGGGCCATCAGTTCCTCATCTGGAGGGAGCTTGCCTGAAGAGTCCATTTCCTCCCCAGGTATCTTCAGGAGTTGGGTGGCCACTGAAGGGGGCCTTGCTGTAGTAGTTTCTTGCTTCTCTGGCATAATATTCTTTTTAGCTTTCTCCAAAAGTGCTGCCCAGTGCTGTGGGTCAATTCTCCGAGCAGAGGAAGGGAAGGGCCTCCTGTGCTCTCTAAAATGTCGATTTGGTGAATCTCCTCGCCGCCGGTGTATTGACTCGCGATAGTTGTGCTTTTTACTTGTGCTCAATACTTGTTTTCCAGTCTCAGCTCCCAGTGGAACAGAGGTAGGGAGTTGCACAGCTGGTGGGTCCATAAGATGAGCAATGGGATTGGGCTCATCAAGTCCAGATCCATCTATTTCTACATTATGCTCTACTGGCCTTTGCCCTTTCGTTTTGACTGAAACTTGGTTAATCAAAAAGTCAACCCCTGATGGGTTGGCTGCTACACAACAATAATAACCCTGGTTTTTTGGGGTGACCTGTAATAGTCTTAGTGTGCCATTGTTAAGAATTTGCTTGTCTCTGGAGGACTGATAAAACACAGTGTTTCCTGGAAGAACCCAGCTAACAGAGGCATCTGGGATACCAGAAGAATGGCATGGAAGGTCAAGTGTTTCACCAATGAAAACTGTATAATGAGCCGCATTTTCATGATAGGCTTCTATGGAGGGCTCTACCACAGTAATTCTATAGGTGAGAATATCTGCATCATCATAATTGGTGCTTATGCAGTGGTATATGCCTGTGTCAAAACTATCAGCCATCTGGAGTTCTAATTTTCCACTTTTGTCTATTAGGATTCGTCCATCCTCACTAACATAAGGGGCTCTCACTTTACTCCCATCAGCCAGAAGCCACTCCAAATGTGGGGTAGGGTCTCCTTGGCCTGGGCATTCTAGGCTAATGGTCCCACCAATCAAAACAGTGCGTTCCAGCTTAGTATTGTTATCTCTGGAAATCATGGTCCATTTATGTTTCACTGGCCTTATTTCTGCCCTTGGTAAAGTGACTTGAACATCACTGGAGTACTGGATGTGCAATGTACTGAGTGTGCTGGCAGTTCTATTTAGCTGCAAGGAGATTTGGTCTTGCATTAACCAAGGGGGATCTATTGTGAGTTCAGCCTCTGTGTCGGTAAAGATGTCTTCAGGTTTAGGAGCCACCTGTTTATATTTGTAGCAGCGTTGTGGTGTTTCAGTGAGCAAGTGGCTCCTTTCTAGAATCAGAGGAGAATCACTGTACAAAGCCAGAACTTGCCACACTTGCTGAATGTAATTGTTTTCTATGTTACACACCAGAAATGTTGAAAATGATGAATTTAGCATGATATAGTCATTTTCTTCAGTGAATGCAATGGATGATGTCTTTGAGGGTTTTTGGATACTGCAGACTATGTTAGCTTCATTTCCAAACTGATCTGTCATATTCAAAGTGATGGAGCCAAGGGGTGCCATGAAATCTTGGGGAGAGATGGACACAGGACTGCTGTCTTCCAGAACAGTCAGGCTCTTTAATTTCAGGGATGGGTCGATGGTTGGCTTGGCACACAGGAAAGCTGCAGCTGGGACCATAGCTAAGGGCGTGCCTTTAGAGGTCCTGGGGTTCATACAAAGTGGACATTGCTGAGGACTGGAAGGACTTCTGTCTTTTTTGCATTTTATTATATCTAGGAAAAATGACAATTGAGTTATTGCCAGCTGTGGCCTCTTTACATTTGAACATTTTAAAGAAATAGCTTTTGCTAAAATTTGAAAGAACAATTTGGAAATTTTAGTGTTATTAAGGAAGTTTCCTACTTTTTTGTCTTTAGGTTGATTTCTAAAAAGATATTGTCTATATACCCTGCCACAGTATTATATCCATGGTCACAAGGATTTTTGCTGTCTTGTTGATTGCTTTATTTCGAGTACCTAGCAAGTGCCTGATATATATTTGGTACTCAGAAATATTACCTAAAAGAATAATTTCCTTATATAGGGAAACAAAATAATAAGCTTATGTTTCCCACTTTTTACTAAAAGTAGTTCAGTTCTATTTCGTCATTTTAATGTTTGAAGGGTCATAGAACTTCATTGTCCCTTAAAAGATTAAATGTTTTAATACCTATTCTCCTCAAACTATTCCAAAATACAGAAGAGGAAGGAAGGTTTCCAAACAAATTCTATGAGGCCAGCATTACCCTGATACCAAAACCAAAGACACCATGAAACAATAAAACTAAAGACCAACATCCTTGATGAATATACATGTAAAATCCTCAACAAAATATTAGCAAATTGCATTTAACAATACATTAAAAGGACCATTCACCATGATCAAATGGGATTTTTTCTGGGGGCACAAAGATGGTTCAGTATTCACAAATCAATCAGTGTGATAAACTACATCAACAAAGGATTAAAATCATATGGTCATCTCAACAGATTCATAGGAAACATTTGGCAGAATTCAACATCTGTTCATGATAAAAACTATCAACAAAGTGGGTTTAGAGGACACCTACTTCAACAGAATAAAGGCCAAATATGACAAACCCACAGCTAACATTATCCTCATGGTGAAAAACTGAGAGCTTTCCTCTAAGATCAGGAGCAAGACAAGGAAGTCCACTCTGACCACTTTTATTCAACATAGTAGTCTTCAGAAGTCCTACTTGCAGCAGTTCCACAAGAAAAAGAAATAAAAGGCGTCCAGATTGATGTGGAAGAATGAAAACTGTCTCTGTTTGCAGATGACATGACACCGTATGTAAGAAATCTTAAAAACTACACGAAAAAACTGTTAGAAATGACAAATTCAATAAAGTCACAGGATACAAAATTAACATACAGAAATCGGTTGCATTTCTATACACTAATAATGAGGAGATGAAAGAGAAGAAAACAATCCCATTTACAATTGCACCAGAAATAATAAAATACTTGGGAATAAACTTGACCAAGGACGTGAAAAATCTATACTCTGAAAACTATAAAACATTGACAAAGGAAACTGAAGGCAACATAAACAAATATAAAGATATTCCATGCTCATGGATTGGAAGAATATAAAATGTACTAACCAAAGCAATCTACAGATTTAATATAATCCCTATCAAAATACCCACATTTTTCACAAAGCTGAAACATATATTACTATATTCGTATGTTACCACAAAGATCCCAAATAGCCAAAGCAATCTCAAGATAAACAAAGCTGCAGGTATCACAATCCCAGATATCAAGATACACCACAAAGCCATAGTAATCAAAACAAAATGGTACTGGCACTAAAACAGACACATAGATCAATGGAACAGAATAGAGTTCAGAAATAAACCTATACTTATATAGTCAATCTATAACAAAGGAGGCAGGAATATACAATGGGGAAAAGACAGACTCTTCAATAAATGGTGCTGTCAAAACTGGTGGACAGCTACATGCAAAATAATGAAACTAGACCACTTTCTTACATCATACACAAAAATAAACTTGAAATAGATTAAAGACCTTCATGTGAGACCTGAAACCGTAAAAATCCTAGAAGAGAGCACAGGCAGTAATGTATCTGACATTGACCATAGAAACCCTTCTCTCGATATGTCTCCTTGCATAAGGAAAACAAAAGCAAAAATAAACTATTGGGACTACACCAAAATAAAAAGCTTTTGCACAGTGAAGGAAATCATCAACAAAAAGACAACCTACTGAAAGAAGGTATTTGCAAATGATATATCCAATAACTAGTTAGTATCCAAACTATATAAAGGACCTCTACAACTCAACACCAAAAAACAAAAACCCCAAGCAATTTGACTTAAAAATGGGCATAGGACATGAATAGACTTTTTTTTTTTTTTCAAAAAAAGACATACAGATGGCTAATAGACACATGAGAAGATGCTCAGCATCACTCGTCATCAGGGAAATGCAAATCAAAACCACAATGAGGGATCATCTTACACCTATCAGATGGCTAAAATAAAAAAGACAAGAAATAAGTGTTGGCAAGGATATGGAGAAAAAGGAACCCTCATGCACTATTGGTGGGAATGTAAATTGGTGCAGCCACTGTGGAAAACAGTATGGAGGTTCCTCAAAAAATTAAAAAATAGAATTACCAATTAGTCTAATAATTCCACTACTCGGTATTTACCCAAAGAATATAAAAATACTAATCTGAAAAGATATATGCACCCTTATGTTTATTGCAGCATTATTTACAACAGCCAAGATTTGGAAGTAACCTAAGTGTCTATCCATAGAGGAATGGATAAGGAAGATGTGGTATGTATATATATTGGAATATTAGCCAAAAAAAAAAAAAAATGAGATAGTGCCATTTGTGACAACAGGGATGGACTCCAAACCCTTGAGTATGTACTCCAGTGTGACAGGTAGTGCTACCTACAGCTGGCTCAGAATTCTTTGGTAAATTTTAAAATCTAAACCTATGCAGAGAAGGTAGCTGGCAAGCCTGAAAACCCTTGAGTACACATAAGAGTCTCTTCTTAATCACCCACTTACCAATCAGCTATGACCCTTAACCTACTCATCAGTACCCTGTGTTCAGACCCTGCCAAAGCAAAGAACATGGCAGACTTCTGGCTTAATTAAACCTCATCACAGAATTATACTCACATCTTGGTATGCTTACTCCTGCTAGCACCTGGACCAGAGTTAGCAGGCCCTGGACATCAGGTATTTTACTTCAAATGCAGATCTTATCATGTCACTTTCATTCTCTCCGTCACACAGACGTGCTTTCCATTTCTCAACCTGCCATGCCTTATTAGGCTCTGGAATATGTTGTTCCTTCTAATTCCCATCATTTGCCATCGGGCACGCCCTCTTCCATCAATATCTAACTACTTACATCCTTCAGGACCCAGTCACAACATCACTTCTGGGTGGGCTTTCTGCTTTATGTTCTCCTTATACCTTTAACTTCTCCTATACTACTCCTCACCCATCCACTGTTAGAATGACTAGTTATCTGTCTTTCCACAAGACTATAACATCCATACTTATTTATCTGTATGTCCCTGGCCTCAGCCAATGGATGCTCAGGAAAGACTGGCGGGAGGGATGAAGGTGGGCAGGCAGGCCTAATTCAAAGGTCATGTTTCTACCACATCTTAACTTGTAACTTGAGATGGGTCTTAAAATTGAAGGTGTTTTACGGTAGCAACTGACCAGCTGTCAGTCTTGATATGGCTTCCACTATTGCACACGAACACTATCTTAGCTATTTACATTGTTTTCTCTTTAACTGAGTTACATGCACTGTCGGGACCATATATTAAATTTGCCACTTAAAATGTTTATATTAAGGGGCGCCTGGGTGGCTCAGTCGGTTAGGTGTCTGACTCTTGGTTTTAGCTCAAGTCCTGATCTCAGGGTCATGAGATCAAGCCTTTGCTTCAGGCTCTGTGCTCAGCGCAGAGTCAGCTTGAGATTCTCTCCCTCTGCCCCTCCCCTTGCTCTCTAAAATAAAATCTTAGAAAAAAAAAATGTTTGCTTTAAGATTATACTATGCTTTGGCACTAAAACAAGAAGTTATTAAGTAGGTAAAAAGGCCTGGAAACAGAAGCTAGACATAAATTTAATATTAGTAAAACAAATGTTTATCAAAGAAATAGCCACAAATCCTTATTTTTGTTATATTAGTCACCATACATCATTAGTTTTTGACGTAGAGTTCCATGATTCATTGTTTGCGTATAACACCTAGTGCTCCATTCAATACGTGCCCTCCTTAATACCCATCACCAGGCTAACCCATCCCCCACCCCCCTCCCCTCTAGAACCCTCAGTTTGTTTCTCAGAGTACATAGTCTCTCATGGTTCATCTCTTCTCCGATTTCTCCCCCTTCATTTTTCCCTTCCTACTATCTTTTTTTTTTTTTTTAAGGGACTTCATCAAGATAAAAAACTTTCGTACAGCAAAGGAAACAGTCAACAAAACCAAAAGACAACTGACAGAATGGGAGAAGATATTGGCAAATGACATATCGGATAAAGGGCTAGCATCCAAAATCTATAAAGAACTTATCAAATTCAACACCCAATGAGCAACTAATCCAATCAAGAAATGGGCAGAAGACATGAACAGACATTTTTCCAAAGACATCCAAATGGCCAACAGACACATGAAAAAGTGCTCAACATTGCTTGGCATCAGGGAAATCCAAATCAAAACCTCAATGAGATACCACCTCACACCAGTCAGAATGCCTAAAATTAACAAGTCAGGAAATAACAGATGTTGGCGAGGAAACGACAGATGTTGGCGAGGATATGGAGAAAGCGGAGAAAGGGGAACCCTCCTACACTGTTGGTGGGAATGCAAGCTGGTGCAGCCACTCTGGAAAACAGTATGGAGGTTTCTCAAAAAGTTGAAAATAGAGCTACAAATCCTTATTTTATAGAGAAACAAGACAACGAGCTTTGTGGAACCTAAGCAGGGACAATACCCAGATACAGATAAAGCTGTGTTACACTGGACTACTGAAATATGTGCAGAAGGATTGCCTAGCCCGTGCCAGGTGAAGCAACTGAAGACAGGAACTGTCACATCTCTTGGAATGGGTGAAAAAAATGTCCAAGCAGAAGTTGATGTGACTCATTCATGAGTCTTATAGGATTATCATTAAGGCATCACAGTCAAAAGGAGAACATGTAA